TCACCACTCTCACTCACCACTCTCACTCAACACTCTCACTCACCACTCTCACTCAACACTCTCACTCACTCACCACTCACTCACCACTCTCACTCATCACTCTCACTCAACACTCTCACTCACCACTCTCACTCACCACTCTCACTCACCACCCTCACTCACCACTCTCACTCACCACTCTCACTCACCACTCTCACTCACCACTCTCACTCACCACTCACTCACTCACCACTCACTCACCACGCTCACTCACCACTCACTCCCTACTCCCCACACCCCCCCCCTTGATCCCCCCCCCCCCCCCCCCCCCCTGAACGCTCCACCCACGATGGCAGTGCCAGGCCGTGGATCCAGGTGCGTTATGCAGTGAGCTCACCTGGTGAGTGTGGAGACTCGGTGAGCGTCTGGAGTCACGGCGAGTGGTGAGTTGTGAGTGGTGAGCGTGGGCGGTGAGCGGCGAGTGGTGAGCGGTGAGCGTGGGTGGTGAGCGTGGTCCCCGCAGAGTGGGCACGTGCTACGAGTTGTCGTCAGAGTGAGCGGCGAGGGGTGAGCGGTGAACGGTGAGTGGTGAGCGGTGAGCGGCGAGGGGTGAGCGGTGAGCGTGGTCTCCGCGGTGTAGACGCACGCTTCGAGTCGGCGTCACGGTGAGCGGTGAGTGGTAAGCGGTGAGTGGTGAGCGGCGAGGGGTGAGTGGTGAGCGGTGAGCGGCGAGGGGTGAGCGGTGAGCGTGGTCTCCGCGGTGTAGACACGCGGTACGAGTTGTCAGGGTGAGCGGTGAGTGGTGAGCGGCGAGTGGCGAGCGGTGAGCGTGGGCGGTGAGCGTGGGCGGTGAGCGTGGACCCCGCGGTGTAGACACACACTACGAGTTGTCGTCAGGGTGAGCGGTGAGCGGTGAGCGGCGAGCGGTGAGCGGCGAGCAGCGAGTGGCGAGCGTGGGCGGTGAGCGTGGTCTCCGCGGTGTAGACACACGCTTCGAGTCGGCGTCACGGTGAGCGGCGAGCGGTGAATGGTGAGTGGTGAGTGGTAAGCGGTGAGTGGCGAGTGGTGAGCGTGGTCTCCGCGGTGTAGACACGCGCTGCGAGTTGTCGTCAGGGTGAGCGGTGAGTGGTGAGCGGCGAGCGGCGAGTGGCGAGCGGTGAGCGTGGGCGGTGAGCGTGGGCGGTGAGCGTGGGCGGTGAGTGGCGAGGGCTGTGAGCGGTGAGCGGCGAGTGGTGAGTGGTGAGCGGTGAGCGGCGAGGGGTGAGCGGTGAGCGGCGAGGGGTGAGCGGTGAGCGGCGAGTGGTGAGTGGTGAGCGGTGAGCGGCGAGGGGTGAGCGGCGAGGCGGCGAGTGGCGAGCGGTGAGCGTGGGCGGTGAGCGTGGGTGGTGAGCGTGGGCGGTGAGCGGCGAGGGGTGAGCGGTGAGCGTGGTCCCCGCGGTGTAGACACACGCTGCAAGTTGTCGTCAGGGTGAGCGGTGAGTGGTGAGTGGTAAGCGGTGAGCGGCGAGTGGTGAGCGGCGAGTGGCGAGCGGTCTGCGTGGGCGGTGAGCGTGGGTGGTGAGCGTGGGTGGTGAGCGTGGGCGGTGAGCGGCGAGGGGTGAGCGGTGAGCGTGGTCTCCGCGGTGTAGACACGCGCTGCGAGTCGGCGTCACGGCGAGCGGCGTCACGGTGAGCGGCGAGCGTACCGGTGAGTTTGGCGGCGCCGCGAGCCCCGGTCCCACGTGGCACCGTGGTCTCGGCGCTGTGGGCGCCGTCCAGCGAGGAGTAGCGCACGCGGTACGAGTCGGCAGCGGCGCGGCTGTGCTCCCACGACAGCTCCAGCGAGCGCTCCTGAGCCCCCACCACCTGCAGACCCCGCGGGGGGTCCACACCTGGGGGGGGGGGGGGGGGCGGGGGGTGGTCACAAGGTCACACGGGGACATAGGGGGAGAGACACGGGGGTCACGGGGACACGGGGGGCCCGGGGTCACGGGGGGCACGGGGACACGGGGGTCACGGGGACACGGGGAGAGACAAGAGGGTCAAGGAGACACGGGGAGAGAGACAAGGGGGTTACAGGAGTTCACGGGGACACGGTGAGAGAGACACGGGGGTCACGGGGACACGGGGACACGGTGAGAGAGACGGGGGTCACGGGGAGAGACACGGGGGTCACGGGGACACGGGGAGAGACAAGAGGGTCACGGAGACACGGGAAGCGAGACACAGCAGTAGCCGCGCGTGCGATGGCGTTCGCGTGCGGAGACACGGGGAGAGAGACACGGGGGTCACGGAAACACGGGGGTCACGGGGTCACGGGAACATAGACACGGGGGTCACGGGAACATGGGGAGAGACACGGGGGTCACGGACACACGGGGACATAGACACAGGGGGGTCACGGGGACACAGACACGGGGGGGTCACGGGGGGGACACGGGGGTCACATAGACACAGGTTGGGGTCACGGAGACACGGGGGGGTCACGGCGTCACGGGAACATAGACACGGGGGTCACGGGAACACGGGGAGAGACACGGGGGTCACGGACACACGGGGAGAGACACGGGGGTCACAGACACACGGGGGCATAGACACAGGGGGGTCACAGAGACACGGGGGGGTCACGGAGACACGGGGGGGTCACGGAGACACGGGGGGGTCACGGGGACACGGGGACACGGGGGGGGGGTCACGGGGACACGGGGGTCACATAGACACGGGGGGGGGGGGGGTCACGGTGGGGTCACGGGGACGGCGTTTGCGTGCGCGTCGCGAACCCGTGGTGAACTCCACGGTGTCGGCGTCGCTCCGTAGCTCGCCGCGCACGCCCACGAGGCTCACGGCGTAGCGCTGGCCCGGCGCGAGGCCCCGCAGCGCGTGGCCCGTGGCCCCGGCGGGCACGCGCCGCTCCTGGGGCGTCTCGCCGGGGCGGCCGTGGGCCAGGATGAGCTCGTCCACGCGGGCCAGCGGGGCCCTCCACGTGAGCTGGGCCGAAGAGTCGTCCACGTCACGAGCCTGCAGGCCGCTCGGCGCGTCCAGGACTGCCCCGGCGGGGAACGTTCGTCGGACGTTCGTCGGACGTTGGAAGTTGGTAGGGGGGGGGGGGTGGGGGAAGAGGGAGGGGTGGGAATGAAAGATTATTAAAAAAATAAAAAATATCGGAGCCGTTGGTTGAGTTTGTCGGCTCGTCGGGCGTCGATTTTCCAACAACGGTCGCGTCCGCTCCTGCCCGCACTGCCCCGCCCCCCCCCCCCCCGCCCCATCCCCCCCTAGGTAGACTCAGCCTCAAATGAGTACCCGGTGCGGTGTGTGGCAAACATCGCCGCTGAGTGCGAGACAAAGGCGGCCGGGCGTGGCGCTGGCCACCCCACCCCCTGGCGTACAACTCCGGGCCTTCGTCAGGAGCTGGCCAACGTCGCCTGCGAGAGGCCCTACGGAGGATCGTGGTCGTGCGTGGCGGCGGTGCGAGTGAGCGGTTTGAGTTGTGAGCGGTTTGAGCGGTGAGCGGTTTGAGCGGTGAGCGGTTTGAGCGGTGAGCGGTTTGAGCGGTGAGCGGTTTGAGCGGTGAGCGGTTTGAGTGGTGAGTGGTGAGCGGTTTGAGTGGTGAGCGGTTTGAGTGGTGAGTGGTTTGAGTGGTGAGCGGTTTGAGTGGTGAGTGGTGAGCGGTTTGAGTGGTGAGTGGTGAGCGGTTTGAGTGGTGAGTGGTTTGAGTGGTGAGCGGTTTGCGGTTTGAGTGGTGAGTGGTTTGAGTGGTGAGCGGTGAGCGGTTTGAGTGGTGAGCGGTTTGAGTGGTGAGTGGTGAGTGGTTTGAGTGGTGAGCGGTTTGAGTAGTGAGTGGTTTGAGTGGTGAGCGGTTTGAGTGGTGAGCGGTTTGAGTGATGAGCGGTTTGAGTGGTGATTGGTGAGTGGTGAGTGGTTTGAGTGGTGAGTGGTTTGAGTGGTGAGCGGTTTGAGTGGTGAGTGGTTTGAGTGGTGAGTGGTTTGAGTGGTGAGTGGTTTGAGTGGTGAGCGGTTTGAGTGGTGAGCGGTTTGAGTGGTGAGTGGTGAGTGGTTTGAGTGGTTTGAGTGGTGAGCGGTTTGAGTGGTGAGCGGTTTGAGTGGTGAGTGGTGAGGGGTTTGAGTGGTGAGCGGTTTGAGTGGTGAGCGGTTTGAGTGGTGAGTGGTTTGAGTGGTGAGTGGTTTGAGTGGTGAGTGGTGAGTGGTTTGAGTGGTGAGTGGTTTGAGTGGTGAGCGGTTTGAGTAGTGAGCGGTTTGAGTAGTGAGTGGTTTGAGTGGTGAGCGGTTTGAGTGGTGAGTGGTTTGAGTGGTGAGCGATTTGAGTGGTGAGTGGTTTGAGTAGTGAGTGGTTTGAGTGGTGAGCGGTTTGAGTAGTGAGTGGTTTGAGTAGTGAGTGGTTTGAGTGGTGAGCGGTTTGAGTGGTGAGCGGTTTGAGTGGTGAGTGGTTTGAGTGGTGAGCGATTTGAGTGGTGAGCGGTTTGAGTGGTGAGCGGTTTGAGTAGTGAGCGGTTTGAGTGGTGAGCGGTGAGCGGTGGAACGGTGAGCGGTGGAGCGGCGCCGTACGCGTGTTGACGTCGGCGTTGGCCGGCGGGCTGCGGGCGTCATCCTTGGTGGCCACGAGGCTCACGTGGTAGCCGTGGCCGGGCCGCAGGCCGCTCTGCACGTGGGACGTCTCGGAGGCGCCCAGCCGCGTGGTCACGGGGGCCGCGGGCAGCCCCACGGGCGCGTCATCCTCGTCGAGCTGACACGCGCACAGCACGAGAGGGTGACACACACACAGCACGAGAGGGTGACACACAGCACGAGAGGGTGACACACACACAGCAAGAGAGAGTGACACACAGGACGAGAGAGTGACACACACAGACAAATGACGAGAGAGTGACACACAGACACATGACGAGAGAGTGACACACACACATGACAAGAGAGTGACACACACAGACAAATGACGAGAGAGTGACACACACACATGACAAGAGAGAGTGACACACACACACATGACAAGAGAGTGACACACACAGACAAATGACGAGAGAGTGACACACACAGACAAATGACGAGAGAGTGACACACACACACACACATGACAAGAGAGAGTGACACACAGACACACATGACAAGAGAGAGTGACACACACACATGACGAGAGAGTGACACACACAGACAAATGACGAGAGAGTGACACACACACACACATGACAAGAGAGAGTGACACACAGACACACATGACAAGAGAGAGTGAGACACACACACATGACGAGAGAGTGACACACACACATGACAAGAGAGAGTGACACACACACACATGACGAGAGAGTGACACACACACACGGAGTTAGACAGCGAGAGAGAGACAACCCACGTGGCCTTGACACACACAGAGGAGAGAGACACGCGCACACAGACGCTCAGTTAGACGGACGTCACATGTGCACACGTCACATGTGCACACGTCACATGTGCACACGTCACAATTTATCCTGGACGTTGCCTTGCTCCCATCGTGAATTCTGTTGCTGTTGCTTCTACTGCTGCTGTTGCCTCTGCTGCTGTTGCTTCTACTGCTGCTGTTGCCTCTGCTGCTGTTGCTTCTGCTGCTGCTGTTGCTTCTGCTGCTGTTGCTTCTGCTGTTGCTGCTGCTGCTTCTGTTGCTGCTGCTGCTGCCTCTGCTGCTCTGTAACCCTGCTGCTGTTGCTGCTGCTGCTGTTGCCTCTGCTGCTGCTGCTGTTGCTTCTGCTTCTGCTGCTCCCCGTACTCTATCATCTTAACTCTGCCCCCCCCCCCCCTCCTCGATTTAAAAAAAGCATCGCAAGCAAAGGCAACCCCCGATGGAGTCAGACAAAGTTCGCTCTCGACGACTCGGGGCACCCCCGTCTCGCTGGGACCGGGGTGGGAGGGTGGGAGGGGGGCAGAGGGGGAGGGGGGCAGAGGGGGAGGGGGGCAGAGGGGGAGGGGGGCAGAGGGGGGCCCAGGCTCTGTGGACGCCGCTTAGCCTCCACTACCCTCGCCATCCCAGGGCCTCGGGACATGGAGGAGCGACTGCTCTTGCAGTCTCCCACACTCACCCACACTCACCCACAGTCACCCACAACCCCCACTCACCCACACTCACCCACACTCACCCACACTCACCCACAACCCCCACACTCACCCACACTCACCCACACTCACCCACAACCCCCACACTCACCCACACTCACCCACACTCACCCCCACTCACCCACACTCACCCCCACTCACCCACACTCACCCACACTCACCCCCATCACCACAACCCCCTCTCACCCCCATCACTACCCCCCTCCCCCGTCACCGACATCACGACCCCCCCGTCACCCCCACCCGCCCTCAGCGTGTAAGTAACGAGGAGTGAGCAGCTCCCGCGAGCTGTCACCTCCCACGCACCGCACACAGCTGGCTCGACTTAGCGCGACTCACTCACCCCGTGACTCACTCACTCACTCACCCCGTTACTCACTCACTCACTCACCCCGTGACTCGCTCACTCACCCCGTGACTCACTCACTCACTCACCCCGCGACTCACTCACTCACTCACCCCGTGACTCGCTCACTCACCCCGTGACTCGCTCACTCACCCCGTGACTCACTCACTCACCCCGCGACTCGCTCATTCACTCGCTCACTCACTCACTCACCTCGTGACTCATTCACTCGCTCGCTCACCCCGTGACTCACTCACTCACCCCGCGACTCCCTCACTCACCCCGCGACTCGCTCGCTCCCCCCGCGACTCCCTCACTCACCCCGCGACTCGCTCACTCACCCCGCGACTCGCTCGCTCCCCCCGCGACTCCCTCACTCACCCCGCGACTCGCTCACTCACCCCGCGACTCGCTCGCTCACCCCGCGACTCGCTCGCTCACCCCGCGACTCGCTCGCTCACCCCGCGACTCGCTCGCTCACCCCGCGACTCGCTCGCTCACCCCGCGACTCGCTCGCTCACCCCGCGACTCACTCGCTCACCCCGCGACTCACTCACTCACCCCGCGACTCACTCATTCACCCCGCGACTCGCTCACTCACCCCGTGACTCACTCACTCACCCCGCGACTCACTCACCCCGCGACTCACTCACTTACTCACCCCGCGACTCACTCACCCCGCGACTCGCTCGCTCACCCCACGACTCGCTCACTCACCCCACGACTCGCTCACTCACCCCACGACTCGCTCACTCACCCCACGACTCGCTCAACCCGCGACTCGCTCACTCACCCCGCGACTCGCTCACTCACCCCACGACTCGCTCACTCACCCCACGACTCGCTCACTCACCCCACGACTCGCTCACCCCGCGACTCGCTCACTCACCCCGCGACTCGCTCACTCACCCCGCGACTCGCTCGCTGGCTCGCTCATTCACTCACCCCGCGACTCGCTCGCTCACCACCACCATCATGACCACGTCATCACCATCACCATTATCACCACCGTCATCACTACCACCACCATCATCATCACCACCACTACCACCATCATCATCACCATCTACACCACCATTATCATCACCACCATTATCATCACCACCATCATCACCACCACCACTACCATCACCACCATCATCATCACCACCACCATCACCATTATCATCACCACCATCACCACCACCACTATCATCACCACTACCATCATCACCACCATCACCACCACTACCATCATCGTCATCGTCGGCTCTCACCCCCTAGGCTCTCACGACACGAACCCCGCTCAGTTCTGTTTGTTGCGGGCCGCTTGACGCGTAGCGGACCTCAGTGGCTGCCCTGTGCTCAGGCAGCAGCTGCGTTACATCAATTCCCTGCGCGTGTTAGATTACTACTCACACGTGGGGGGAGGGGCTACACCCCAACACGTTCACACGTGGGGGGGAGGGGCTACACCCCAACACGTTCACACGTGGGGGGGAGGAGCTACACCCCAACACGTTCACACGTGGGGGGGAGGAGCTACACCCCAACACGTTCACACGTGGGGGGAGGGGCTACACCCCAACACGTTCACACGTGGGGAGGAGGGGCTATACCCCAACACGTTCACACGTGTGGGGGAGGGGCTACACCCCAACACGTTCACACGTGGGGAGGGGGGAGGGGCTACACCCCAACACGTTCACACGTGGGGGGGAGGGGCTACACCCCAACACGTTCACACGTGGGGGGGAGGGGCTACACCCCAACACGTTCACACGTGGGGGGAGGGGCTACACCCCAACACGTTCACACGTGTGGGGGAGGGGCTACACCCCAACACGTTCACACGTGGGGGGGAGGGGCTACACCTCAACACGTTCACACGTGGGGGGGAGGGGCTCCACCCCAACACGTTCACACGTGGGGAGGGGGGAGGGGCTACACCCCAACACGTTCACACGTGGAGGGGGAGGGGCTACACCCCAACACGTTCACACGTGGGGAGGGGGGAGGGGCTACACCCCAACACGTTCACACGTGGGGGGGAGGGGCTACACCCCAACACGTTCATACGTGGCCCTTGTACCCCCACACTCCCCCATCTGTCATCCTCCCCGAGACGAGCAATGGCATCACGTCATTGGAATCCATCTGTGTGTGTGTGAGTCTCTGTGTGTGAGTCTGTGTGTGTGAGTCTCTGTGTGTGAGTCTGTGTGTGTGAGACTCTGTGTGTGAGTCTGTGTGTGTGTGAGTCTGGGTCTCTGTGTGTGAGTTTGGGTCTCTGTGTGTTGAGTCTGGGTCTCTGTGTGTGAGTCTGGGTCTCTGTGTGTGTGAGTCTGGGTCTCTGTGTGTTGAGTCTGGGTCTCTGTGTGTGTGAGTCTGGGTCTCTGTGTGTGAGTCTCTGTGTGTGTGAGTCTGGGTCTCTGTGTGTTGAGTCTGGGTCTCTGTGTGTGAGTCTGGGTCTCTGTGTGAGTCTGGGTCTCTGTGTGAGTCTGAGTCTCTGTGTGAGTCTGGGTCTCTGTGTGTGAGTATGGGTGTCTGTGTGTGAGTCTGGGTCTCTGTGTGTAAGTTTGGGTCTCTGTGTGTATCTGGGTCTCTGTGTGAGTCTGGGTCTCTGGGTGTGAGTCTGGGTCTGTGTGTGTGTGAGTCTGGGTCTCTGTGTGTGAGTCTGGGGTCTCTGTGTGTGAGTATGGGTGTCTGTGTGTGAGTCTGGGTCTCTGTGTGTAAGTTTGGGTCACTCTGTGTGTATCTGGGTCTCTGTGTGAATCTGGGTCTCTGGGTGTGAGTCTGGGTCTCTGTGTGTGAGTCTGGGTCTCTGTGTGAATCTGGGTCTCTGGGTGTGAGTCTGGGTCTCTGTGTGTGAGTCTGGGTCTCTGTGTGGAGGAGTCTCTGTGTGTGTGAGTCTGGGTCTCTGTGTGAGTCTGCGTCTCTGTGTGTGTGAGTCTGGGTCTCTGTGTGTGTGAGTCTGGGTCTGTGTGTGTGTGAGTCTGGGTCTCTGTGTGTGTGAGTCTGGGTCTCTGTGTGTATGAGTCTGGGTCTCTGTGTGTGTGAGTCTGGGTCTCTGTGTGTGTGAGTCTGGGTCTCTGTGTGTGTGAGTCTTGGTCTCTGTGTGAGTCTTGGTCTATGTGTGTGTGAGTCTGGGTCTCTGTTTGTGTGAGTCTGGGTCTCTGTGTGTGTGAGTCTGGGTCTCTGTGTGTGTGAGTCTTGGTCTCTGTTTGTGTGAGTCTGGGTCTCTGTGTGTATGAGTCTGTGTATCTGTGTGTGTGAGTCTCTGTGTGTGAGTCGGTGTGTGTGTGAGTCTGTGTCTCTGTGTGTGTGAGTCTGGGTCTCTGTGTGTGAGTCTGGGTCAGTGTCTGTGAGTCTCTGTGTGTGTGAGTCTGGGTCTCTGTGTGTGTGAGTCTGGGTCTCTGTGTGTGTGAGTCTGGGTCTCTGTGTGTGTGAGTCTTGGTCTCTGTTTGTGTGAGTCTGGGTCTCTGTGTGTATGAGTCTGTGTATCTGTGTGTGTGAGTCTCTGTGTGTGAGTCTCTGTGTGTGTGAGTCTGTGTCTCTGTGTGTGAGAGTCTGTGTCTCTGTGTGTGTGAGTCTGGGTCTCTGTGTGTCAGTTTGGGTCTATGTGTGTGAGTCTGTGTCTCTGTGTGTGAGTCTGGGTCTCTGTGTGTGAGTTTGGGTCTCTGTGTGTGAGTTTCGGTCTCTGTCTGTGAGTCTGGGTCTCTGTGTGTGGGTCTGGGTCTCTGTGTGAGTCTGGGCCTCTCTGTGTGAGTCTGGGTCTCTGTGTGAGTCTGGGTCTCTGTGTGTGAGTCTGGGTATCTGTGAGTCTGGGTCTCTCTGTGTGAGTCTGGGTCTCTGTGTGAGGCTGGGTTCTCTGTGTGTGAGACTGGGTCTCTGGGTGTGAGTTTGGGTCTCTGTCTGTGAGTCTGTGCCTCTCTGCATGCGAGTCTGGGCCTCTCTGCGTGAGTCTGGGTCTCTGTGTAAACCCGTGGGGTCCCCGTGTATGAATGAGTGCAGCAGTGACCTCTTGAAAAATAAACACAGTCGTCAGACTCTTGTGACGAGTCCTGGATTGTTTCTGATCTTTCCCCCGGGCTAAATAAACGAAAAGCCGTGCCTCTGTGTGCAGCCACAAACACACACACACATATATACACACCACACACAGCTCCGACACTCTTTACAATAACAACACAAGCCAACTCCGCGCGGTTGAGACACCGTGTGTGTGGGACGCGGTCAATGTGGGCGTGAGCGGGAATCGAACCCAGGGATCACTTGGTTCCTCGCGCAGTGCGGTGCTGCTAACCGCTGCGCCACCGCTCCAAACCATCAGTGGCACCACCACCACATCCTGCCTGCACCCCCTCTCAACCCCCTTTTGTGTCCCCACCGAGTTGAAGCTCCAAACCCCCACTCCAAATCTCGTCTTGTCGGAGAAATCCGATCCGCCGCGCTCCCAGCCGCAAGAGCAGACACCACCTCCTCCTCCTCAACCTCCTCCTCCCTCTCCACCTCCTCCTCCCTCTCCACCTCCTCCACCTCCTCCTCCCTCTCCACCTCCTCCTCCCTCTCCACCTCCTCCCTCTCCACCTCCTCCTCCCTCTCCACCTCCTCTACCTCCTCCTCCACCTCCTCCTCCCTCTCCACCTCCTCCTCCTCCCTCTCCACCTCCTCCTCCACCTCCTCCTCCCTCTCCACCTCCTCCTCCCTCTCCACCTCCTCCACCACCTCCACCTCCTCCTCCCTCTCCACCTCCTCCACCTCCTCCTCCACCTCCTCCTCCCTATCCACCTCCACCTCCTCCCTCTCCACCTCCTCCCTCTCCACCTCCTCCCTCTCCACCTCCTCCTCCGGTAGTAACCTGGTAGTGCAGGCTGGGCGACCCTAATCCTTGCACTACAGAGCTCGCCGCCGGTTCGATTCCACCTCCAGGCGCGGCATGGACGATGACCTCCGCCTGTGTCCAGCCAGCCAGCGCGGTCGGTGCGGATGGGTTCAACCAGGGTTCAGTGGGCGGGCGAGTCTCGCGTGAGTCGGGGGGGGGGGGTCACCTTGTGGGCATCACCGCCGCTCGCAGGCCAACATCGGGGACGATCCTCTGAACCCCGACCCGGGGCCGCCTCTAGGTCCGCTCAGCATTGAAATGAGTAGCCCCCGGTGCGTTGGGGAGACAAACGCGGCCGGGCGTGGTGTTGGCCACCCCGCCGCCCACGTGCGCCGTGCCGGCCATTTTAAAGGTGCTCGCTGGCAGCACTTGCCCCCAAAGTACTCTGCTAAGGCTGCACGCGGGGAGCTTTGCCTTTGTCTCGCCGCAGAGCGCGCGGGGCGTCCTGGGCTCGAGTATCCCGGGGGTCGTGGGGGGGCGGGGTGGGGCTCGTAGGGGGCGGGGCTGGTGGGGGCGGGGGGGGGTTCCAACACATCCGAAGGGGAGCGGCGATTCACGTTCATCAGCCCCCGCAAATCTTTCCCTGACACAGCGGTGGTAACCACAGACGATACGTCATGAACCCCGTCGACACCACCACCACCACCCCCTCCTCCTCACCCCCCCTCCCCCCCCAACGAGACTCTCTGTTCGCTTTCCAGGAGCTGTAGGGGTCCAAGACTCCCACCCCTCCCTCGACTCCCTCCACTCTAATGAATCATCATCGCCGGCATCATCATCATCAGCTCGCATCTCCCGCTCCCGTCTCCAGCGTGTCGGAGACTCCAGACCCGCGCCGCTGAGTCTGGCTCAGTGACTCAGACACTGATTCCCAGACTCCCCTTCGGCCCACGGGGCTTACTCACCCCGCATCCTCCTAGCACACATACAGACAGACTCACTCACACACACAGACTCACACACACACACAGATTCACTCACTCATACAGACTCACACACAGACTCACTCACCCACACACACACAGATTCACTCACTCATACAGACTCACACACACACAGACTCACTCACCCCGCATCCTCCTAGCACACATACAGACAGACTCACACACACAGACTCACTCACACACACACACAGATTCACTCACTCATACAGACTCACACACACACACAGACTCACTCATACATACAGACTCACTCACACACACAGACTCACTCACACACACACAGATTCACTCACTCATACAGACTCACACACAGACTCACTCACACATACAGACTTACTCACACACACACAGACTCACTCACTCACACACACACAGATTCACTCACTCATACAGACTCTCACACACACAGACTCACTCACTCACACAGATTCACTCACTCATACAGACTCACACACAGACTCACTCACACACACAGACTCACTCACACACAGATTCACTCACTCATACAGACTCACACACCGACTCACTCACACACACAGACTCACTCACTCACACACACACAGATTCACTCACTCATACAGACACACAGACTCACTCACACATACAGACTCACTCACTCGCACAGACTCACTCACACATACAGACTTACTCACTCATACAGACTTACTCACTCACACAGACTCACTCACTCACACAGACTCACTCACACACACAGACTCACTCACACATACAGACTCACTCACACACAGACTCACTCACACACACACAGACTCCCTCACACACACACACAGACTCACTCACTCATACAGACTCACACACACAGACTCACTCACACATACAGAATCACTCACTCATATAGACTCACTCACACACACACAGACTCACTCACACACACACAGACTCACTCACTCACACAGACTCACACACAAAAAGACTCACTCACGCACAGACTCACTCACACAAACTCACTCACACATACAGACTCACTCACTCATACAGACTCACTCACTCATACAGACTCACACACACAGAGACTCACTCAAACACACAGACTCACTCACTCATACAGACTCACACACTCACACAGACTCACTCACTTACACAGACTAACTCACTCATACAGACTCAATCACTCATACAGACTCACACACACACTGACACACACACACTGACACACACAGACACACACAGACACACACACACACTGACACACACACAGACTCACTCACTCATAGAGACTCACACACACACAGACTCACACACACACAGACTCACTCACACAAACTCACTCACACATACAGACTCACTCACTCACTCATACAGACTCACTCACTCATACAGACTCACACACACAGAGACTCACTCAAACACACAGACTCACTCACTCATACAGACTCACACAGACTCACTCACTCACACAGACTCACTCACTCACACAGACTCACTCACTCATACAGACTCACTCACTCATACAGACTCACACACACACTGACACACACACACTGACACACACAGACACACACACACTGACACACACACAGACTCACTCACTCATAGAGACTCACACACACACACAGACTCACTCATACAGACTCACACACACAGACTCACACACACACAGACTCACTCACCCCACACACAGTGGTCTCGTGGGCCCTTTGTGGCCCCTTTGTGGGCCATCGTGGGCCATCGTGGCCCTTCGTGGGCCCTCGTGGGCCCTCGCAGGGCGGGTCGGTGGGCAAAAGGGCGCTTGGGTGGGCGCGTGGGTGAGTGGGCGCGTGGGTGAGTGGGCGCGTGGGTGAGTGGGCGCGTGGGCGGGTAAGTGGATGAGCGGGTGAGTGGACGAGCGGGCGAGCGGGCGAGCGGGTGAGCTGGCGAGCGGGCGAGCGGGCCCCACCTTCTCGGTGAAGATCAGCTCCCAGCCGTCGATGGTGAAGTTGAAGGGATCCCACTGCACCTCGACCGAGGACTCGCGCACCGACTTGAAGCGCAGCCCCTCGGGCGTGGAGAGGTCTGCAGTTGGGGGGGGGGGGGGGGGGGGGGGGCGTGTGGGCACGCGGTCAACCCCACCACCGCGATCGCCCCACCTCACCAAACAACAAAGGCCAAAGTCCCCCGGGTAGCCTTAACACAATGACGGGGTGCAAGTGCTGTTAGCGAGCGGCAGCGCCTGCGAATGCGCGCTGCGCCCCGTTACCTCTGACACCCCTCTCCGTCCCCTGAGATGAACCCGGTGATCCTGAGCAGTGCCCACCTCAACCCCTTCCTGTTCCGATGACGTACGTCCTCCACGTGGACAAGAACGAAATTGGAAGTAAGCTCCGGCTACCGTAGAGTGCGGCGGCGGTCGCGTCCCTGCGGTTCGTCTGCGGCGAGTAACGGCGCCTTCGAGCAAGCCGAAACGGCGCTGCTACCGACGCCCCGCTAAATGCAACCAAGCGCCGAGGCGCTCGCAGCGAACGGGACCTCTCGGAAACGGGAAAAGAGTTTCGGAGACAGCACGGTGGGGGGGGACGCACGCGTGGCCACGCGGGCGCTGATGGGCACGCTGCGCTGCCCGCTGAGCACGGCGTAGACGCGGATGAAGTACTCCACGCCGGGTTCCAGCTGCTCCAGGGTGGTGGCACGGCGGTCTCCCGGCACGCGCTGCTCCATCTGCACGCCGCCCGACGCCGTCGGCGCGTACTCCACCAGATATTGAGTGACCACCATCTCGCCCTCCACCCCCCACTCCAGGTCGATGGTACGGTCCGTCACGTCCACCACCTGCAGGTCCTTGGGAGAGGTCACTGGCGGCGGCGGTGGGCGGGGGGGGTGGGGGGATTGAGAGAGGAGGAAACGATGAATCGGCGGGCTACGTAGACTTACACAGAGACCCACAGATTTTCATAGAGACCCGTAGACTCGCACAGAGAGCGCACAGGCTTTCATAGAGACCCGCAGACTCACATAGACATCCATTAGATCAACTTACAGACCCATAGACTCGCACAGAGACCCACAGACTCACATAGAGACTCACAGACTCATTTAAATACTCATAGACTCAGTGGCGGAGCAACCCCCTCCAGCAATGAAAAATTATAGGAGTTGTTAGTAAGTAAGGAGTTGTTCGTAAGTAAGGACTTGTCCCTTGCTTTTTATTTGACGTGTGTGCGGCGATGGCTCAGCCGTCGATCGAGGGTCGAAGGTGTTGATGCCTTCAGGGAGGTCGTGGACTCTGTAGACGCAACTGCGCACAATTCTGTGAGCCGCTTATAACCGCTTTGCCGTTACTTATTGCCTCTTATGGACTCGAGACTATTGTCCTAGGCACGTAATAATATGCTACACAGTGGCAGTGGGGGTCGCAAAATGCCGATTTATTACTAATAAACCCTAATGATCCGATCGAAATCCCTAATTTCGATCGGATCATTGGTGGGGGGGGGGGGGGGGGGCACGTGCCACCCTCCCACTGGCTCCGCCAGTGCATAGACTCGCATAGAGATCATGTGACAAAGACAAAGACCCGCAGACTCAGACGGAGCAGCAATACGCTGCTGGTTTGTCTCCCGGGGGAGGTCTCTTGAGTGTCCTCCCCGACGCCAGAAATCAAACTCGTGGCCCCAAACATCGCTATCGGAAGCGCTCCTCCGGGCACACCGTGACCCTTGTAGCCGTTCAAACTTTCAAAGCAAATTCTCTTTTCACTACGAGTCCTGCAAAGTGACCTTGACAAGCACCCCCCCTCCCCCCTCTCTCTCTCTCCTCCCTCACCCCCCCACTACGAACTGGGTTCACGCGACGTCTGGTCTCGGTTAACGTGATCCCTTTAAGCGGAGCGGACGAGTCGCGTGTAAAGGCCGGGCTCCACGTGCTTTGTGATGTGGGCTCCACGTGCCCCTGTGATCTCCCCCCGCTCCCGCGTGTTCTCTAACCCGGGTAATCGATGGTGATGGCGGTGGCGGTGATGGCTCCAGGCTGCCACGGCAGTGAACGCGGTGGCTGGGCTAACTCCCCCACCCCCCTTCTCCCACCACCCCCCCCCTCTACCCCCACCTCCCCACTGCCACCACCGCCACCGCTGCAGTTGAAATTGGGCCGCGCTGGGATGCGAGCGAGGTGGGGGGGGGGTCGGCTTAAGTGGCTCCACGTGCGGAGGAGGAAATTCCGTGTGACGCGCGGATTAATTCCTCCCGCAGCCTCCGCTACCCCGCCCCCCCCCCCCAAAACCCCACGCGCCCCCCTCCGGCTTACCTCCTGCTGAGTGGGGGGGGGGGCTGATAATGGGACTTCACCCCCCTCCCCGACTCCCCCCAGCACAGAGGGCTGCTTTGTTATGACGACCGCTTTCGCCCCGAATGCACTCCCATCGCGTCAGATCTCAGACACGTGGTTAGCATCCTCCTCGGACGGGTGTCCATCACTGCCACAACCACCACGAACAACCACCACCACAGCCACCACCACCACCACTCGGGCTGACTCGGCCCTGACTTAGCCCTGACTCAGCCCTCACTTGACTCTGATTTGGCCCTGACTCGACTCTGACTCGGCCCTGACTCGGCCCTGACTTGGCCCTGACTCGTCCCTGACTCAACTCGAACTCGGCCCTGACTCGGCCCTGACTTGGCCCTGACTCGTCCCTGACTCAACTCGAACTCAGCCCTGACTCGTCCCTGACTCAACTCGAACTCGGCCCTGACTCGTCCCTGACTCAACTCGAACTCGGCCCTGACTCGTCCCTGACTCGGCCCTGACTTCTAATGCCGCCTGCGTCTCTGGCACTCCCCTGGGATGGCGCTCGACCGGAGGAACCCCGAGAACCCCGGAGAAAACCCCGCCAAGCATACAACGTGGGGGTGGGAGACTCACAAGCTACGCACAGATGGATTCAGGAATCTCGGGCTCGACTTACTTAGGTGGCTCAGCAGTAGAGCGAGCGGCTGCCAATCGTAATGTGAGTTCAAATTCTGGTTTTGATTGCAGGTTGATTTAGCCCATCATCATCATCATGCCTCTCTCCAGGGTCGATAAAAATGTCAGATCACTTTGCGGTGGAAGTCAACGGCGGGTTTTCATTTTGGCTAGACTCACCCCCGTCATAGGAACGTGGAAGAGATACCGACTACAACGCTCGAAGGAGGAGGCATCGCCACAGGAGCTGATGAAACACTGAATGTCAAAACCGGCCCTTGCCTCTAAACATCTCGGAGTCACGCGGCATTGATTCAGGCGAGCCCGACTCTGCTGCTGATGAAACCCCGAGTGATGAAACCGCTCCAGGATGCTTGTTGTGGCGCGCTGGTTGAAGCGATGCGCTACCCGAGGCGAGACCGCGTGTGGCCACTGACTGTTTGTGGACAAACAAACACTCGAATACAGTAAAACCTTGGATTGCGAGCATTATTCGTTCCGGAAACGTGTTTGTAATCCAAAGCACTCGTATATCAAAGCACTCATATATTAGTTGTGATCACGTGATGCTCGGCAGACAAAGCGTCTATACGTACTGCTACTCGTATTGCAAGACCCTCGCTCGTTTATCAAATTAATATGTATTTACAATTTTTGCTCGTCTTGCAAAACACTCGCAGACCAAGTTACTCGCAATCCAAGGTTTTACTGTAGTCTGTACGTGTGTGTGTGTGTGTGCGGGGACACGTGTTATGGGAAGTTTCCCCATTCTCGCACTCGCACCCTCTGGCATATACGGGACGGCTCTTTGACCACCAATGTGTGTGAACTGTCTCTCTGCGTGGTCGCCCCACGGTCAATATCTCTGAGTTCGCTCCAGCATTTGTATCTCTCTCTCTCTCTGCGTTTTCTTGATTGGCACTGATGAGCCCCCAAGGAGGAGGTAGAGGCGGAGTGAGGAGGAGAGGGGAGGAGGGGAGGAGGATGATGGAGGGGAGGGGGGAGGAGGTTGAGGGGAGGTGGGAAAGGAGAGGGCTTCATGACCCCATCCAATCACAGGGCAATGATGGCCCCTCACGCTCTGCGCATTCGGCCGCACAACGCCGGGCGTCAGCGGGAGGCGAGGCGACGTCGCGTCGAGCTCACGGCTCGCTTTGGGGAACGCGGGTCCATTGTGACGTCATCGCCGTCATCATCGAGCAGCGCGTGGCGTGGCTGCCTGTGACCCGGCGCTACTGCGCAGCAGGCGAGGGGGGCTCGTGGATCGCCGCACACAGGCGAGGAGGTGGAGGTCAAGGGGCAGACGCAGGTGCCATGGGTCGACTGACTGAGATGACTGGCAGATGCACCGACTGCGCTCCCCAAATGTGCCAACTCTGCGTCTTAGCCACCCCGGTGCTCCGCTCGTTGTTGTGAGCGTCGCTCCTCCGCCCTCCGTCGTTGCTGGAGGGCGACTGCCTCCAATGGGCCACTAGCAGCAGCGTCCTTCACGAGCAACCTACACAGAGGCCGATCTTGACACGGACGGTACCGGTAACCGGCAAAGTCCACTCAGCTCCACATCCTCCTGTACTAACATCGGTTCCATCTCTTCTCCAGCCCGTGCCGTGCCCGTTTAGCCCCGTCTATCCAGAATCTTCTTGGTGGCCGGGAATTCGGGCGCCGTGACCCAAGTCAACGCAGCCTCGCCTGCTGGAGGAGCTTACCAAATGGGACTTTGTCCAGATCTGTCAAGGATCTGTGAGCTCCTCACACAATCCAGCCTGGTCAAGCCCAGATCTGTCAAGGATCTGTGAACTCCTCACACAATCTAGTCTGGTCAAGCCCAGGTCTGTCAAGGATCTGTGGACTCCTCACACAATCCAGCCTGGTCAAGGCCAGGTCTGTCAAGGATCTGTGAGCTCCTCACACAATCCAGCCTGGTCAAGCCCAGATCTGTCAAGGATCTGTGAACTCCTCACACAATCTAGTCTGGTCAAGCCCAGGTCTGTCAAGGATCTGTGGACTCCTCACACAATCCAGCCTGGTCAAGGCCAGGTCTGTCAAGGATCTGTGAGCTCCTCACACAATCCAGCCTGGTCAAGGCCAGGTCTGTCAAGGATCTGTGAGCTCCTCACACAATCCAGCCTTGTCAAGCCCAGGTCTGTCAAGGATCTGTGGACTCCTCACACAATCCAGCCTGGTCAAGGTCAGATCTGTCAAGGACCTGTGAGCTCCTCACACAATCCAGCCTGGTCAAGCCCAGGTCTGTCAAGGATCTGTGAGCTCCTCACACAATCCAGCCTGGTCAAGCCCAGGTCTGTCAAGGATCTGTGAGCTCCTCACACAATCCAGCCTGGTCAAGCCCAGGTCTGTCAAGGATCTGTGGACTCCTCACACAATCCAGCCTGGTCAAGGCCAGGTCTGTCAAGGATCTGTGAGCTCCTCACACAATCCAGCCTGGTCAAGCCCAGGTCTGTCAAGGATCTGTGAGCTCCTCACACGATCCAGCCTGGTCAAGCCCAGGTCTGTCAAGGATCTGTGAGCTCCTCACACAATCCAGCCTGGTCAAGGCCAGGTCTGTCAAGGATCTGTGAGCTCCTCACACAATCCAGCCTGGTCAAGGCCAGGTCTGTCAAGGATCTGTGAACTACTCACACAATCCAGCCTGGTCAAGGCCAGATCTGTCAAGGATCTGTGGACTCCTCACACAATCCAGCCTGGTCAAGCCCAGATCTGTCAAGGATCTGTGAACTCCTCACACAATCCAGCCTGGTCAAGCCCAGATCTGTCAAGGATCTGTGAGCTCCTCACACAATCCAGCCTGGTCAAGGCCAGGTCTGTCAAGGATCTGTGAGCTCCTCACACAATCCAGCCTGGTCAAGCCCAGGTCTGTCAAGGATCTGTGAGC